AACCCCAGGCGTATCTAAATAGAATATTCGTTAAAGTTAAATATAAATAAAATTATGATATTGATACCCACAATAAAAAACGCCTATTAATAAGAGCATAGCTATTATTAATTAATTAAATTGTTGAATGATAATAAAGATGCATAATTTTAGTTTGGTTTTGCTAAAAATTATCGTTGTCATAATCGGGATTACAGAAACGATCGAAAGCGGGTGTAAGAAATACTAACTTTGTTAATATTTATATATATAGGTGAGGTTAGCGAGTATTATGATTAGAGTAGTTCTTCCTGCATTTGTAAGTTTTAATTCCTTAATATTCTCTTTAGAGTGCTAATAAATGATTCATGGATGCAGCTGATGTTAATCAAATTTCTCAATTAAATTCGGGGTCGATATCATTAATTGCCTTCAATGTGAAAATGGACTTTATTTATTGAATGAAAATTTAAATCTTGAAGAATCAAGTAACCACCAATTAAGGAATCACTACTCCTATTGTGTACCTGATTGCGCTCAAGCCCATGATTCTTTTGCAAATAATCAACTTACTTCTTAATGCAAAAGTAAGGCCTACTTAAGAAATATAATGAAAATTAGGTTGTGGAATCTTTTGTTAGAACTGTGACAGAACATTAGGCTGTCTAACTTGCCTAGGATAAATAAATAATTAAGGTTGGGTTACTACAGAATAGACTAGTCTTGACATTTATCCATCTGGATTTAGAACTTGCCAATGTATTATCTGCTTATCCAAACATTTTATTTAGAATGCTAATCTTAATTTTAATGTTCTTGATGTTCAGAATCGGATATAACTTATTGCACCCATTGTACTGATCCTGTAAATCAAAAATCACTAGCATTGGACGATACTGATGATCCTTGTTGTAAGAAATTACATTTAATCTCTTAGAACCCTATACTACTTCATTATTAAGCAATATCTAATTCTGTACCATATATGACTACTATGACTAGTTTAACTGTATCCATTGTTAAGATGGCTATTATCTTGATAAAAATGCTTATTTAAATGTATCTGCTGGAAGATATTAAGATAAATGCTCACCAAGTATGATTAAACTTATAAAACTTTTTAAATAGATATTTAACCTGAACTGTGTGTATTAGCTACTTCAAGATATGAATGTAGCTAATGTATTTATGGATATAGTACCTATTAAATTGGAAGCTAGAACTTATGTTATTGTAAGCCAAAATTTATCATCCTGCTAAATCAAAAATTTAGAATGCACCAATAAAGATGAAGATTTAATAAATACACTTAAATGTAACTTATAACTAAATCTCTCAAGTGCGAATCCTACACCTACATTTAAATCAATAAAGGCATGCTTAAATGGATATGTTGATCCAGGAACTGGTAAATGTGTAACTAATTGCGGCATTGGAAGATATGGGAATGTGACTTTTGGATACAAAGGAATGATTGAATCAACTGAATGCCTTGACTGTGATTCATCTTGTTTTGAATGTAAATCCTAAGTTGAGTGTAAATCTTGCAAGAAAGGATATTTCTTAAATCTAACTGAGGGAAAGAACACAGGAGCATGCTAATTAAAGCAAGGATAGTTTGAGAGTGTATTGTATGTTTAGTCAAAAGATGAGCGTGAAGTAGTCTTCTAAGATGGCTCTAAAGATTATCCATTTAATTCTATCGTTGATGCTTTAACGAAGGCATACAAAATAGGATCACCATACAGATCAGCAACTATCTAAATCATTTTATTCTCCAATTAAACTCATTCAATGCAAAGATACAATTCAAATCTTCAGCTATTTGATTCAATTGACATCTCTCAATCAATAAAGATTATAATTGATACAGTAGATTAAGTCCCAACAAAAGTTTATTACAAGCTAAGAGATAAATTTACCTTTTTGGTTGGGGCAGGCTTAACTATTAGAAATATAGAGTTTGATGCAACTGACTCAATCTTAGATTAAAGAGAAGGGAATATTGACTTAGCCTTATTAGATTCAAATGACTATTAGTGTCTTAAAACTTTCAATTCATCTTGTTGTAACTCAGCTTTTGACTCAAATTTATAACGATACCTTATTATGGGACCTGCAATATGTTAAGCTCGTTATTTGCCGTAATCTTAATTTATTTTAACAATACATCTAGATCACTTAATTGCTTGAAAAGTCAATAATTTGGAAGATTCATTTAATTTGATATTAGCTAGCAGACAATGTTGGAATCTCCTGCCATTCTGAAGTTAGAGGTAAATAAATATACTGAAAGATAATAATTTAGAATGTGTAATTCAAGAATTTTTTGTACAACTTTAACTCTCTAATTGAAATGAATGACTTTGGAGGCCAAGTAGAGATCAGTAAATTTAGCTATATTTATTATTATAGTCAACACAATATTTGAAAATATTAACTCATGCGGGAGTATAATAGGATACCAAAAATACATAAACTTTAATCAGACTTCTTTGGAATCTAATTAAAGCACTTATTTACAAAATATCAAAACAATCCAATACAATACCTTCAAATACTAATATTTGGAAAAATAATCACTACAACTACTAAGATAAAATTGCTAAAGTAATTGTCACAGCGTTAAAATTTCTAGTTCAACCTTTAGATATTTAATTGGAATTAATGGAATAATATTGAATGAAAACCTAAATGATAGCATACATATTGAAATAAGTAGCTCCAGTTTTTACTAAATAAATAGTCAATAATCTGGAATAATAAGCTAGATAAATGGAGCATCAAGTATATTTATTAATGATATCAAAGTTAGTTATTTAGTTAACTCTGCTTTTGGTGGTATTATTTATCTTGGTTAGAATGTAACATCAGCTTCGATTACTATTTAAAATTCGGCTTTTGATAGCTTTTGTGCTTTAAAGGGGTCGTTTATTTATATCGATATAAATGATTATTCAGAGTTAAATATAGATATCAATCTTAATTAAAATAAATTTTAACTGGAAGCTATTGATAACTTTGCTTGGATGTATCCATAAACTTAAATGATTATCCCTAGCCAGAGTTTTCTTTACAGCAGCTCTTAATTTGCTACAATTGTCATTGAACAATGTAATTTTACTTTCTAAGATTAATAAGAATCAAATACTCTGCTGTATTTGAAAGATTTCTATTCTCTAACACTGAAACAACTAATATTTGAAAACACCTATAAAACTTAATTGATCTACACAGACAATGGAAAAAATATTGTCATAGATTCAGTATAACTTAATTGTTAGATAGAGTCGTTTGACTCTCTTTATGTGTCTCATTAGTATGTTAAGACAGCAGAGATTACTATATTTGATACTTAATTTGGCTCACTTCAACTTAGTCCATTTGAGATTAATAATGTGGAGAGTATTTCAATAATCTAGAGTAATTTTAATAACTGCCAAAATAGATCTGAAGGTGGAATATTTAAGCTGGCTAATTCTTCTTTGATTGACAAAGGTTCTTACTTCTAATTTAATCAAGCTAATAATGGGGGCTCTATCTATTGTAAGAACTGTTCTGCTATTTTTTATGAAACTACATTTGCTAATAATTTTGCACTAAAAGGTGGAAGTATTTTAGCAAGCGGTTCAAAGAATTTAGAATTTAAAAGAATTAATATTCAAAATAGTTCTGCTTACAATGATGGAGGGTTTTTATATCTTTAACAATCTCAGGAAGAATAATAAGATTTAAATTAAAACAGAATGCTAGTTTAAGATTAGTAAAGCCTATTAGAAATTACTTATAGAAATCTTAAATCTGAGTAAAGGTCACTTATATTTTTATCAGCAAGTTAAATGAATAAGACTTTTGCCAGAAATTATGGTGGTGCAATATATATTGATTCAAAGAATTCAGACATTTAAATTGATGGTTTAGTTCAGAATTAAAGTTCAGCTTTAAATATGATGGGAGGAGTCATTCATCTCGAGAATGCTAAATCTATAAATGTATCTAACTCTGATTTCTCATAATACCATAGTCCAAGTGGTTCTTGCATTTCTAGCGTTGGATTTAATACTTAGATAATCATTTCTGATTCAAAATTTCAAGAGCATGTCGAATTCTAGTTCCCAAATAAAACATAATTGCTTAATAGCACATCTATTGGAACCTATGGAGTTATTTATATTACAGATGCAGCAAATGTTGCTTTTTCTCAGAATGCATTTTTAAATAATTACCAGAAAAAGTATGGAGGAGTAGTCTACATTAGAAACTCAAGCTTCTAAGATTTTGGTTCAAATTACACTAGAAGCATTGCAGTATATGGAGGAGCTATTTATTTAGAAGAGAAAAGCCATATTGAATTGAAAAATATAACTATAGAATACAGTACTGGTATCTTATCAGGTGCAGCAATTTATATTGATACTATCTATGGCAATACTAGCTTAACAAACCTGACTATTAGATATATCAGGGCCGCCTAATATGGAGCAATTTATTACTAAAGTTATTACTAAAATGAATCTGATCTTAAGCTTTTTTATTTCTAGATGACAAACATTATTGTTTTCAATATCAAATCACTTTATGCTAGCTTGCTCTATTTTGATAACTATTATGGGGTTTTAATATCTAATGATCTTTACCTTAATTTTTCAAGTGGCTTAGAATCGAATGGCTTTGTAGTTTAAAATGCTTACATTGTAGAAATATATAACTCTCAAGTTGCAAACATCAGATAAAGCCATTTTAAGTCAAGTTTTCTTCGTGTTATAAACTTAGTCGAATCAGTATATATAAGCTAAGCATATTTTAAATGCTTTGAAATAAATACAATAAAGGAATACACACCACATATCAATAGATAAACAATTGTTCCTTTAGAAGATTATGAATCTATCTATAATCAAACTGAATTAATCTCCTCACTTTATCAGCTCAATTCTATTTTTTAATTCTAATCATTCAACATTACTGTGACTAATTGTGCTATAAATTAAGGATAATTGGTACAAGTTTATACCAATAATTTCTAAGTCACTTTAATAATGAATTATACTTTTATAGAAAAATCTGATATGCTGTAGTTTATTTATGGATCTGATCTCATATTATATTCATGGAATATGATTACATAAGATAACGTAAGAGATAGTTATGCATTAATTTCCACGACTAACTCATTTTAATTTCATTAAAATATTACTGTAAGACGGTTTCAAGGGGCAATATTTGATACAGACTCATACTTCACTGATAATCCAGTAATTACTATTGTTAGGGATTTGATTCTCGAGGATATATTTGTTATAAATACATATATTGGAAAATCAGTATTTATTTCATATTCAGATATTACCAAATTACACATTAAAAACATGTACTTGAAAAACATAAGTGCTTCACTTCTGTTTTTAAATGGTTTGGGATTTGATTCATATTATCCTGAAATAACGAATCATATTTTGATAGAGAACTCATTTATAACTGGTTTTTATTATCCTGAGATATCTAATCTAATAAAAAGTATTCATCCATATGCTAATTTAGTCTAATGAAGAATTTTCAGATACATAAAACATTGGAGTGATTTATGTCAAAGATTCAATATTTGGGTTCTTAAGCATATCTTCTAACTTTAAACAATGCTAAGTGCCTGATAAAGGATCTGTCATAAATATAGTATAATCTTCATATACAGATTTTAACTCTACTTTTTAAGATAACTATGCACCACAAGGAGGGGCAATATCATGTGATTCATGCATCTTACAAATGAAGTAATCTAAGTTTATTAACAACAAAGCAAGCAGAGGTGGAGCTATTTTTGCAGACTAAACTGTATAAATAATACTAGAAAATATACAAATAAAAAACAATATAGCTACTTTAGAAGGAGGTTTCTTTTATTCACGATAATCTAATGTATTAACAAGCATTGTATCTACATTTAAATTGCTAAACAGTCTACAAATAGAAGGCTTATCATCTCGAACAGGAGGATTTTTAGGATCCTACAATCCGAATCTTCAAATCCTTCTTAGAAATGTTAGTCTTCTGTCAAGTTATTCTTCATAAATTGGTGGTTTCATAAGTATTCAATATGGATAAAATTTAGTAATTGAAGACTCATAGTTTTAAGATTTTAAATCTCCAGCTGGAGCATTCATGTATTCTGCTTCTCAATAATTAACTGTTGACATCAAAAGGTCGACTTTCATTTGTGATTCATTTCAAACAAACAAGAATAAATCATTTGAGTTATTAGATGAGGATTATAAAAGTTATACTTAGACTTAATTTTTAATTACCGATGCAATAAAAGTAAATTCTGATTCAAATTTATACAAATATTGCGGAACTTCCTCAGAAGGAGGTGTTTATACTTTGAAAAAGACGATTTTTAAAGATTATAAGTCAAATTTTATTTACAATTCAGGTTTTAATGGAGGGGTTGTGAATAGCTAATAATCTTTGATCATTTTTATCTCTTCAAAATTTAGCTTTAATCAAGGAAAAGTAGGTGGAGTATTTTATATAGCTTCAAGTTCAAATTTAACAATTGATAACTGCCAATTTTCCTAAAATTTTGCTTCAATTTCAGGAGGAGTTATTATTTTAAATACGCTTTCTACTATGCAAATATCTAATTCTGTATTTAGCAGTAATGTTGCGATTGATAATTCAGTTTTAGAAATTCTGGGTGCTGATTAAAGCTCCAATATTACTATAAGTAAATCAACTTTCATAGATAATTATGCAGTAAGAAATACAATATTCTTAATGTATGCAAATATGAATCTTTATGACTCTACATTTATAAATAATTATGCCAGTGAAAGAACGAAAGGAATATTTTGTGCCTTTGTAAATCTGACAATAGTCAATTCAGATTTTGAAACTTATCTCAATAGTAATTGGTAGAATGAGCTTCAAGATGCGAAGACAACTGGTTCCTATATATTTATGATTTTCAATGTAAACACTCTAATAAGAGACTCTAAATTCATAAACGGAATGTCTAAAGAAGGAGGAGCACTTTATATTGCAGGAGATAGTAATGCAGATATCTAATCATCATTATTTCAAAATAACAAAGCTAGATCAAAAGGTGGTGCTATTTATTCAACTGGCTTTTTAAGTATTAAAATTGGGAATTCTACTTAATTCAAAGATAACTATGCTGTTGATCAAGGTGATGATATTTATTTGACAAGTTCTCTAAATTTAATTACTTTAAACAAAGTTCTCATCACTAATATGAAAGCTAAGAATTCTATTTATATTGAGTAGGCAAAATTATTTTCTTAAGAGCTTACAATAAAAGATGCCTACCAAAATCAAAATTCGATAAGAGGAGCAGGAATAAACTGCTAATATTGTTCAGGTCTTGAAATAAGAAATTCTTCATTTATAAATTTAAGATCCACATATGGGGGAGCAATATACGTAATTGAACAAGATTAAAGTAAAGAGAACACAAACAAAAATAATAAAAAGTTTTAGATAATAAATACTTTTTTCATTAATTGTACAGCTGAGCAAGGAGGTGCTTTAATGCTAGATAATTCCTAATCAATTTATATACAAAACAGCTAATTTCATTCTAATAAGGCTAAGTATATTGCAGAATATCAAAGTCATGCTGTAGATATGGGATCAGGAGGAGCAATTTATTATTCTTGCAATGATCAAACTTTAAATTGCATACTAAGTTTTGATGGATTGAACATTTTCAATTAAAATTAAGCTTAAATTAAAGGAGGAGCAATCCTCTGGACAACTCTTGAGCCTATTTTTACCAAAATTAATCTTAATTTCATAAATAACACTGCATATTAATACGGAGATGATTTAGCATGCTTTGCTTAAAAATTAGGTTCTTTGTCTGCAAACCAATTCTTGGCTTAGATGATAAAATTAGGTTTGAAAGACAGTATTAGTTCAAGATTTTTATAATATCAAACATCAGAAAATATAAAGTTTAACCAATCAGTTCAAGGTTAGTAAAGTGGGGGGTCTATTCCAGTTATTTACATGGGTTTGATAGACAAATATGGGTAGATTGTTGGTTCAGATTTTACTAGTAAAGTTAGAATATCTATTCAAACCAATAATCTTGATGAGAAAGCAAGCAAGTATCCTCCAATACTCGAAGGAAGTAGTGATTTTCAAACATATGGAGGTATTGCTGTTGTAAAGGATGTAATAGTAGCAGGATCTCCTGGATGCTTATATCATGTATCATTTACGACTGATGGAATTGATCTTAGCAAATAATCTAATTAGGAAGCTATGGAACTGCTGGGTAAACAAAGAACAGTCATTATAATGTTGAAGGAGAGTAGTTTACATCAGCTGGTAAATGTTTAGAATGCTAGGATAATACCTATTCACTGGTGAAAATGATTGAACCTAACTCTTGTGAAATATGTCCATCTGAAAAAGCGATATGCTTAGGAGGCATCAATATTGGACCATAACCAGGATATTGGAGAAAAAGTAATACAACTAAAAATATTGAGAAATGTCTTTTTGAGCCAGCATGTCTTGGGATGATAGCTCCTAATTACAATCCTTAGGGAGACTGCTTAGATGGTTATAGAGGAATACTTTGTGCTGATTGTGACAAAGGCTACTCGAGAGATAATAATTACCAATGCAAATACTGTCCAGAACATTGGGTCAATTCACTTAGACTAATAGCGATTTTGATTGGAGTAGTTTTATTGATAGTCTTCATGGTAAGATCTACTCTTAATGGTGCCAAAGATGCCACGAACGTTACAAGTATTTATATGAAGATTCTACTTAATCATTTCTAACTATTACTTATGACATCTTCCTTTGACTTCTCATGGTCAGAGCAAATTCTAGATTTCTTTGGAGCAACAAACTAAGTTGGATAAGTTTCAACGTAAGTATTTAGTATAGATTGCTTCATAAATTCTAACAATGATGGAGAACAAAGCAACTCAGATTAAAAAAGAGTATTTTTCTTCAAGCTTATCATAATAGCAGTCTTTCCATTGTTTTTGACTATTATTTGCTTCCTATTTTGGTCAATTTTAAATAAGGTCCGCAGAGGAGATTTTCAAATAGACAATAAATCCACAGCCAGTCTTGTTATTTTACTGTTCTTAGCTCATCCTAGTATTGTTTAGTATTCATTCTATGATTTTAAGTGCAAAAATATTGATGGAGAATTAAGATTGCAGGATGATTTAGAAGTTATTTGCTGGAATAGTACTCATACATTCTTTAGTTATTTTGTTGCTCTTCCAAGCATTGTTGTGTGGGGTATTGGAATTCCATTTTTCGCTCTTGTCATTCTATTTAAGTTTAGAGATGATTTAGAAACACGTCGAACTAGAGAAAAGTATGGATTTCTATATAGAGGTTATAAAATCGATTATTTTTACTGGGAAATAGTTATTATGTACAGAAAGATAATCATAATCTTTGTTTCAGTATTTATTGGTAGTTTTGGGGTTATAGCTTAAGCCTTAATAATGTTTCTGATACTAGTTTGGTTCTTGCTGTTTAATTCTAAGTACTAGCCATTTAATACTCGAGCTCTGAATGAATTGGAAAATTTGTCATTGATAACATCAATGATGACTATCTTTTGCGGAATATTTTTCATTCTGGATAAACCATAGAAATGGATATAAAATAATCCCGAATATGCAAAGAGTGCAGTAGCCCTATCTATTTTTTTCAAAAGATTCTTTTTTGGAATTATACTGATATCAAACTTATTATTCTTCATGTACTGGACTTTTAAAATGATTTAAGAAATAAAATAAAAACTTAGGAAAAACTTTCAAAAAATCTATTTAGCTCTCTGCGTATGCTTTAACGAATAAAAATTAAACAAAGAAAATATTCTTAATTAAACTTAGCAGCTTAATAACAAATTTGATGAATAGTTTTAAAAGATCATCAAATAGTTTTAAAACCTGCTTGACTAAGGAGACATCAAACTGAATGAAAAACTGATTACAAAGCTGACTGTATTGCTTCATCAGTTTAAAGATTTGAATTACCTAAACTAAATGAAAAAAGGGAAATTGAATCATCACTAATCAATGGACTATAATAGATAGTAATATTTTTCTTATAAATTTCTATAGTAAGTCTCATCTTTTTATTAAAGATTAATCAAAGATTGACAATGAAAGTATAGATGCTATGATAGTTTAGAATAGGATAGATTATGAAATAGGCATAGACTTTGATGAATAAATAAATACAGACAAAAAATCTAGAACAGGAAGAAAAAGCCGTACATTGTAAATAAACAGGGAAATTACTAACTAGAAATTTTAGCAATAAGTGTCCATGCAAACTAGTGAGGATGAATCCATGAACTTATAATTAGGAGATTCCTCAAGACACTTGAATCGATGGACATACCATAGGTAAAATCCAAACTTAATTGGAGCTCTTCAAAGATTTAAAGAAAGTAATAATGAGAATAAAGATAAAGTGGTGGACTCAAAAAGATCTTAAAAAATGAGATTCGCTGCGAAAAGTAAAAAATACGATTCTTTATAAACAGTTAAGATAATAAGTCAAAGAAGCCATTACAAAGAATAATCCTATACTAGCTTAGATAAACTAATTAATATGAAAGAAGATTAAGATAAGTAAAGTGATGAAGGAAAATCCAAGAAAAAAATACCCTAAATATGTATTGAAAAAGATAAAAATCACATTGATCATCATGCAAACTAAAATGATAAAATATCTGAAAGAGGATTGCAGGATTATAGCTCTACTAATGCCTTTTAAAATAAAAGGTTTGCTAAAGATTAGCTAAAAATAATTGTAGTTAAGAAGAATGACAGATATAGAAAAGATAATGGAGTAAGTTCTGTTAATGATAAATCGAAGTAACATAAAATGGAAAGAAACTAACCATTGCCAAATAATGAAAGTCTCTCAGTTCAATCTATTACCAAGTTAAGACCAAAGAAAGATAGCAAGAATAATTTGAAAGCTTTTGGATTTTAAGACTTGGACATTAATTTCAACGACAAATAAATAAATTTAGACCAATAATAATAACTAAATGATGAGGAGGAGGACTAAGATTAGAATTTTCTATAGAATTAAAAGCAGATTAATTTTTACTAGTGCAATCAATCAAATTCAAATTAGGATATTAAGAAAGATTAAAATAAAAAAAATATCATACTAAAAGAGGAATCTTTGATAATTTCTAGCATTAATTCTGATAATGAGTAGTAGAATAATGATTATTAAAAACCATTAATCACTGATTAGAGTATTAATATCTTTATTAACAATGAACTTTAATAATCAGCTATAAAGGAGGACATTCAAAAACTGTAATCAAACACATTATTAAGCAATATTCAAAATCCTATTTCACTTGGGATTGTGAAGTTGAATGAAAATGATTAAAGAGATCAAGATCATTCAAACTATAAACTCGGGCTTTAAAGCACTCAGAATTTAGTCTCACCTAATACCTGTAATATACTATAATCTAACTCAAAAGCTAATTACAAAGATTAATAAAAGGTGGATCTTAATAACTGTAGCAGTAATAATTTAACTAATAGTCAGAAGAGTAAAGATATTTAAGACTCTTCTTCTGCTATTTCACTTGACTAAGAACCAATTATTAAGGAGAATAGTTTTTCATATACAAAAGATATTAAGAAAGATAATAATTGGATACAGAAAGAATGATTTTTATTATATTCAAACAAGAATTTGATTATTCATGAATTATTTATAAATTTATTTTCTAGATTTTGCAAGAATTAATGCATCCAGGGGTTTTGGGGTTTTGGGGTTTTGGGG